TGAAAAGCTATAATTTAGCTCCGACCTTGGGAAGGCAAAACTTTTCTGCTGCATCAACAAATTGTTGAGATAATTGTGTATCAAGATACTACAACTACGTGTATTGTACGAACACCCTGTTAAGTAGTCCGTTGGAATTACAGGCATCTCATCACCTTCTTGGGTCTAAATGGTTTTGTACGTAATCACTGTATATTGTTCTGTGTTCCGCTACAAACAAATGTTCCACATCCTTCCGCGCTTCTCTTTTACTTTGGATTGTGGTTTTGTTTCCTTTTTATGCCCCCGCCATTTTGTGGTTTTGTTTTCGTCCCGTCGCGTCGCGTCGCGTCCCAAATCAGTATATACCACTTAACAACTTCATTCGGACCTTTCACTATTATTTCACATGGGGGGGGGGGGGGGGGGGGGGGGGGGGGGTGGATCTTACAGACATTTTCTAGTTTAAAAACAGTGATATACTGTATGCATTTCATTTTGGGGGGGGGGGGGTGGATCTTACAGACATTTTCTAGTTTAAAAACAGTGATATACTGTATGCATTTCATTTGGTTCTATTCCAACTTGCCAAACAGTTCACGGGCAGATGTTTGGAGAAATGTTAGTGAAAAAAATTAACGAATTTAAATTTAAGTCAAATATGTAGCGCGCTCATTAATTAACGATCGATTATGATATAGAATGATAGTGGTTAACGATCGATTATGATATAGAATGATAATGATTAGCGATCGATTGTGATAATGATTAACGTTCGATTATGATATAGAATGATAATGATTAACGATCGATTATGATATAGAATGATAGTGGTTAACGATCGATTACGACATGATATACCGTCATATGTGATATGCGATAGATTGTGACAGAGATATATTGCTTGACGATCGATTTTAACTGTGACTGAGACATATTTTGATATAAAATACCGTTAATTTGCAGGCGAGTATGACATAAGATGGATGTCATCGATGTACGATTGATATTGACATCGAGCGATCGATTGTGACATTTGACGTCCTCGATTGACAATGAGGTAGAATGATATTGTTTGACAACACAAGATATTAATTTACAATTGATTACTCCTAGAATGACATCGATTGTCGATCGATTATGACCTAGAATCACCTTATTGTTTTATTGTTTGTTTGCCTTTGAAGTCACATGAACATTTCTAACTAACAATTCACCCCGAACCGTGACATTGAACAACTGACCTTGGAATCATATGTAAGATAAACAACTTGTTTACATTAAGTGTTTTGACAGAAGGGTAGTTAATTTATTGCTACCACGTTAACTCGAGACAGGTACATAAATGCTACCAAAATAGTCTGTGGCAACCACAATATCGTTTAATTTTTTTAATTTAAATTTTTTAATAAGTTGTTTTTGATTGTTTACTTGGTTGTTGTTTGACTCGCTCAGTGTGTACCCAACCAATGAAAGCTATTGACTTTCGTCTTGTATTGTATCATGTTACTTTGTGCACCGACTTAGAAATTCACAAATCCTCAAGCGCGGTGTTTGAATAAAACGAAGTTGATTGCAGTAAGCGAAACAATTAACGTAATAAATGTCACATTAAGAGTTGTTACATTAAGAGTTGTTACATTAAGAGTTGTTACATTAAGGGTTGTTACATTAAGAGTTGTTACATTAAGGGTTGTCACATTAAAATTTGTTGCATTAAGAGTTGTCACATTAAGAGTTGTTACATTAAGAGTTGTCACATTAAATTAAGAGTTGTTACATTAAGGGTTGTCACATTAAAATTTGTTGCATTAAGAGTTGTCACATTAAGAGTTGTTACATTAAGGGTTGTCACATTAAAATTTGTTGCATTAAGAGTTGTCACATTAAGAGATGTCACATTAAGAGTTGTTACATTAAAATTTGTTACATTAAAGTTGTTAGATTAAGAGTTGTCACATAAGAGTTGTCACATTAAAATTTGTTACATTAAAATTTGTTACATTAAAGTTGGTAGATTAAGAGTTGTCATTTGTTGCATTAAGAGTTGTTACATTAAGAGTTGTTACATTAAGAGTTGTTACATTAAAATTTGTTACATTAAAGTTGTTAGATTAAGAGTTGTCACAATGAGTTATCACATTAAGAGTTGTTTCATTAAAATTTGTTACATTAAAGTTGTTAGATTAAGAGTTGTCACAATGAGTTATCACATTAAGAGTTGTTACATTAAGAGTTGTCACATTAAGAGTTGTCACATTAAAATTTGTTGCATTAAGAGTTGTCACATTAAGAGTTGTCACATTAAGAGTTGTCACATTAAGAGTTGTCACATTAAGAGTTGTCGCATTAAGGGTTGTTGCATTAAGAGTTGTCACATTAAGGGTTGTCACATTAAGAGTTGTCACATTAAGAGTTGTTACATTAAGAGTTGTCACATTAAGGGTTGTTACATTAAGAGTTGTCACATTAAAATTTGTTACATTAAGAGTTGTCACATTAAGAGTTGTTACATTAAAATTTGTTACATTAAAGTTGTTAGATTAAGAGTTGTCACATAAGAGTTGTCGCATTAAGAGTTGTTACATTAAGAGTTGTCACATTAAGAGTTGTCACATTAAAATTTGTTGCATTAAGAGTTATCACATTAAGAGTTGTCACATTAAGAGTTGTCGCATTAAGGGTTGTTGCATTAAGAGTTGTCACATTAAGGGTTGTCACATTAAGAGTTGTCACATTAAGAGTTGTTACATTAAGAGTTGTCACATTAAGGGTTGTTACATTAAGAGTTGTCACATTAAAATTTGTTGCATTAAGAGTTGTCACATTAAGAGTTGTCACATTAAGAGTTGTCACACTAAAATTTGTTACATTAAAGTTGTTAGATTAAGAGTTGTCACATTAAGAGTTGTCACACTAAAATTTGTTACATTAAAGTTGTTAGATTAAGAGTTGTCACATTAAGAGTTGTCACATTAAAATTTGTTACATTAAAATTTGTTGCATTAAGAGTTGTCACATTAAGAGTTGTCACATTAAGAGTTGTCACATTAAGAGTTGTTACATTAAAATTTGTTACATTAAAGTTGTTAGATTAAGAGTTGTCACAATGAGTTATCACATTAAGAGTTGTTTCATTAAAATTTGTTACATTAAAATTTGTTGCATTAAGAGTTGTCACATTAAGAGTTGTCACATTAAGAGTTGTCACATTAAGAGTTGTTACATTAAAATTTGTTACATTAAAGTTGTTAGATTAAGAGTTGTCACAATGAGTTATCACATTAAGAGTTGTTTCATTAAAATTTGTTACATTAAAGTTGTTAGATTAAGAGTTGTCACATAAGAGTTGTCACATTAAAATTTGTTACATTAAAATTTGTTACATTAAAGTTGTTAGATTAAGAGTTGTCACATTAAGAGTTGTTACATTAAGAGTTGTCACATTAAGAGTTGTCACACTAAAATTTGTTACATTAAAGTTGTTAGATTAAGAGTTGTCACATTAAGAGTTGTCACATTAAGAGTTGTTACACTAAAATCTGTTACATTACAGTTGTTACATTAAAGTTTTTACATTAAGAACATTGAAATTGGTTACATTAGAATTTGTTACATTAAAGTTGTTAGATTAAGAGTTGTCACATTAAGAGTTGTCACATTAAGAGTTGTTACACTAAAATCTGTTACATTACAGTTGTTACATTAAAGTTTTTACATTAAGAGTTGTCACATTGAAATTGGTTACATTAGAATTTGTTACATTAAAGTTGTTAGATTAAGAGTTGTCACATTAAGAGTTGTTACACTAAAATCTGTTACATTACAGTTGTTACATTAAAGTTTTTACATTAAGAGTTGTCACATTGAAATTGGTTACATTAGAATTTGTTACATTAAGAGTTGTTACATTAAGAGTTGTCACATTAAGAGTTGTTACACTAAAATCTGTTACATTACAGTTGTTACATTAAAGTTTTTACATTAAGAGTTGTCACATTGAAATTGGTTACATTAGAATTTGTTACATTAAAGTTGTTAGATTAAGAGTTGTCACATTAAGAGTTGTTACACTAAAATCTGTTACATTACAGTTGTTACATTAAAGTTTTTACATTAAGAGTTGTCACATTGAAATTGGTTACATTAGAATTTGTTACATTAAAATTTGTTACAATAAAGTTGTTAGATTAAGAGTTGCATCAATGCTCATGGCTTTTCGCCTGATCTTCAGCTTTGATGTGTGTTTAGTAAGGACTGCACTAGACGTTTCATTATAATAAAAAAATGGATGGGATATTGTGCGTAGGTGGCAAAGTTATGGCAAGAAGACACGTCATCCTGAGTAATCTATCTTCATATAATCTTTAATGAACGAACCGACAGCTATCAAGGTCACCTATTGTGTACTTATAACACATTAGTAGTTATCCACCCGAATCGAGCTTTCTTCGTGAAAAGCATAGCTTTAATCTGTAAACTTTGAATCTCATTTGTAAAGGCGATTTAAAGGAACAAGAAACATGATAAGATCTTGTAGTGATGATACATTTTCATGTTTTTAAAAACTGTTTTGTCCTATGTTATCTTAAAATTGTTCTAATTAAAATCACTTGTTATACCTGATGGGATACTCATTTCACTATTTTATTTTGGGGAATTAAATGGGGAAATTGACGATCGGATGTACATAAAAGCTGATTTGTCAGGAATTCTCTGTTTACATGAAACAAAATGGAATTCTGAGATATGTTTAAATTGGATTGGTGATTCCGATTTATTTATCATATCAGAACGGGACTTAAAGTTATGTTCTTTTGAATGTTGCCACTCCTGTAATTAACACGGAGTTATTGCTTCCTTGATTTCCGTAACTTTTTTGTCAAATCCCGAGGTGATTTTCTGTCACGTGGTAGAAATGAAGATTTGTATACTAGCGAGAACGCCCTATCACACAGAAGAAAAAACTGCAAGTGACATTATTACCAGGTCGAAATCTTATTTTGTTTCTTCTGTTGCAGAAAATCTAGACGCTGAAGGAACGTTGAAAATCCTAGTCTGTGGCGGAGGAAATGGTGCTCACTGTATGGCAGCTTTGGCTTCTTCTAGGGAACACGTTGAAGTGCGCGTGCTGACACTGTACAAAGATGAGGCGGAGAGGTGGACAAAAGCTCTTAACGAAGAAGACATGACGATATCCATTACATATAGTGATGAGCACACGGAAGACAAGAAGTCGAGACCTTCGCTGGTAACTAAAGATCCGGCCGAAGCTGCTGCAGGTATTCACATGATATTTTTCACTGTTCCGGCGTTTGCACATAAACAATATCTAGATGCGATTTCAGAGCACGTCCTCGATAACACGTTACTGATTGGCATGCCAGGGCAGGCTGGATTTGAGTTTCAGGCTGTTGAGGCATTGAAAGGTAAAGCGAAGAAATGCGCAATTGCATCGTTTGAATCACTTCCGTGGGCATGCCGAACGGTAGAGTTCGGACGTCACGTGCAGCTGCTCGGATTTAAAGAATCGCTTTGTGCTGCAATCCTGACCGGAAGCGAGAGCAACCTGACAAAGTCATCGCTCGATGTCATACAGTTCATTTTTGGAGATGACCCTCAATTCGACGTCATTGATAACTACGTTGCAATTAACCTGATGGCGAAAAGTATCATTCATCCGCCACTTATGTATGGTCGGTGGGGAAAATATAACGGCGAGATCCTCGAAGAGAAGCCACTGTTTTACCAAGGTGTTGACGAGACACAAGCCGCTCTCTTGTCAAAGGTCAGCGACGAGGTTGTAATGACGGCCAAAGTTATTCAAGACAAACGTAAGAACGACATGTCTAAAGTTATCCACATTCTGGACTGGTACCGAATTTATTACTGTCACGAAATATCCGACCACAGCTGTTTGAAGAATGCCATGCAGACAAACAAGGCGTATGATGGACTGCTCCATCCTATGAAACCAGTAGATGAAAGTGGCAAGAGATTTGTTCCCGACTTCAACTACAGGTACTTAAAAGAAGATGTGCCGTACGGGTTGGTGGTTATGAAAGGGATCGCTGAGATCGCCGGTGTCGATACCCCTACCATTGACACCATCATAGAATGGGCACAGAAACAACTGAACAAGGAGTACATCGTGGCTAAACATCTCACTGGTAAAGATTTGTCCGAGACTCGCGCTCCACAAGTGTACGGATTTAAAACCCTTGACGATCTCTTCCATATCTAATTTCGATGGATACATTCTCCATTCAGACAGAGATGTGATAGCGTTTTATGAAAACAGTTCTTGGCTTTAAAGAAATGTGTACTTAAATACTTGAAAAAAGTCCGCTCATAAGAAGAGGGTTAGCAGGTCTGTCCAATCGGTTGTTCTTTTCAATGAAGAAGTCGGTCATGAAATTAAAGAAAATATACTGTTACAATCTCTAATAATATGAATTACCTACTGCATTCTCTACCTCTATGTACAGGATACATGGCACGGTGTATGGAACAGGATGGATATCTGAATATTTCGAAAATCAATGTCTTCAGGGAATCTCACGAACTGTTGAAGATGTGATTTACATGGGAGGAGACCGGGCTATTCCAGATTTAGAAGATGGCAAAGAAATGTAGAGTTTTCTTGTCTGTGATACAATTCTCTTGGATCAAATTGACAATTTTCAGCAATATCATTGCGATTTCGATCATTTTTGATGCTGATACTTTCACTTTTCTTTTTGTCATTTATGTATATATTAGGTAATTGTGGTTTAGAAATTTAGATAAGGAAATTGTGAAAATTGTGAATGTTGTATATCTATAAACAATGGCTATATAAAAACACATTGCAGACATATTATTTTTATTTAAATATTAGATGTACTGGATTCATTTAACTTTACACTAAATTGATTTCCAATGGTCTACACCTTAGGCATTTAATGTATTCTAATGAATGGCCACGTGTAGCATGATTGTAATACTGTATATAAGTCAGTATTAGTTAATGTCATTAGGTTAATTATGTATTTTACAGAAGCTACACTATACTTGATTTATTCCATATCGTCTACGATTAATATCTGTCCCTAACAAATGAGTTCTGTTACCGGTAGAATATATATATATATAAATATTTAAAAAATATATATACTTATTTTAGTTATAATATGTATATTGTGCATTGGAAAAATATATAGATATATATGTAAATGATGTCTTGTTTTAAAAGGAATGATTGAATACTTTATTTGTTGAAGAAAATCATGTTCTACACAATAAACCCGCCAGGTCTTATCAAAACGTAGTCTGAGCAGAATGACCTGTTCTGTTCTCCTTTCACAATCAAATTGGTTTTAAACGAGTCGATAGTCATACGAGATAGCATATATATTAATCGCTATAGTCAGGGGATAGTCACAAATATCAGCATTGAATGGGCGTCACATCTTCTAGTGTGTACACCTTACAAATCACAAATGGGCATACCAAAAGAGCGAATGTAATTTTTAATATGTGTCGGATAAAGTATACTGGACGGGTCAATCTCATCAGATTTCAGCATATTAAAATCCTCAATGCTGTGTAATTCTGACAATCATAGCTTATTAGTTCACTAATGGTTATCTATATCGTAATGCTGTTTTAAGCGTACACCTGCTATTTTGACGGCATCAGATTTATGTCATACTTCAGTTATATTAATTAGAAACTTTAGTATAAAAAACGTTTTGCCCAATAATCAGGGCTTATACAAAATGTAAGAAAATTTAGTATTTTTTTATTGCTTTTCATTAAAATAATTCTTAACGAATCTGCGTTGTTGGTGATCATTGTCGAGTGTGAGCACGTGTAAACAAATGCAAGTTAGAATGAAAAGGTGATCAGCTTGAAATTTGATTATACGTCTCGTAGTCATATTGCATTAACATGCATAACGTGAGGTGAGTGAGAGATAAACCAATTAAATAAATTCATCGCTTCTCACAGAGACGAGAAAGATATGTAATTGAGAGAGAATGGCCTCATGTGTTTGATAACTGTTTCGCTGTTTTTGTTGAGAATTAAATCGATTGTTACATCTCTTTACGAAAATCACTTTTACAAAGTTTTCTACCCAGCTTCATTTTCCTGACATAGGGCTACAAGATGTGCTTAAATCGGAAACCATATAAGTGTATGGTAGAGGAGGCAAACTAATCAATTTTTGAGAATGAATTTGAGATGTGACTTTATCGAAAATTTCTTGGAAATACAGTGAATAACTAAATGTGACGGAACTGTATTACAGTAGGGTTTAGCCTGCTCTGTCCATATGCATATATCTCTCATTCAATATCTGAACTGGTATAAAGCCGTAAGGTATTCACATACCGATATGTAATTGGTAAGTCATTCTGACGAATCCATAGCAGACAGATATGAACATAATACAAGTAATGCTTTGTCACGTGATTATTCAATAACTCATTGATACATACACACATATACATACCTGCGTAAAATGTCGGAAAGACCGTTAATTTATCACGACCCATGCAATTATCCTACGTTCTATATAGTCTTGTCCCACGAACATTTATTCACATAACCAAAGTTCGAGAGACTGATGGAAGGACAAGCCTCTTTCACCGGTTTTCAAACAAAATTAAAAAATATATATATAATTTAAAAAGTTGACTATACGTGGCAACAATAAGAACAAATATTACACGATTTAAACGTAGACAATTTAAAAAAAAAATACAAAATGAATTAGACCAGGTGTTCCAGAACGGTCGGTGTTTTAGACGTCGTCGACAGTAGCCGCCATATTTATTACAACGAAACCACAAGGCATACTAACGATCATCAAACACATCTTGATTCTGAAAGACGATTTGACGACGATAAGGTGGCGACCATAAAGCTTTACCATATCGTCTTTATCAAGAAGCTGCGACAATATGTCAGTTCGTACTACTATCAAGCAGAATGTAAGAGTTATCTCCCTGACCGGGGCACCTGCATTGTATGTGGTAACTAAAATATGTTACACGGTCTGGAGAAAATGACTATTGGAACCTACAGATGTACCGATCACGAAAACCACCTGAGCTGCATTGGAATTCGATTTACTTATCCGAATAGTGGAAATAGCTCCAGCACTTCGTTCAGCGGTCCTTTGAATAAATGAATGGCAAACATCTTTTACTGTGATTAGGATAGCGATGTCGCGGTATGTAGAACATTGACCTTCACAGCAAACGAAAACAAACAGCTGGAACTGTTTTACCGTAAGTATGAATACCTTCGTATTTTTGAGAACTGTGTATGGGACAGCTTATTATCTGATGGTTTTGTCAACAAATTTTGCACATACTGCCATATTTATGACCTTTCATTGCTGATATATCCATAAACTCCAAGATGGAAGCGTTCTTGATTTTTCATTGGTAGGCCTACCGTGTATGAAAGACATGGCCCACATTGATAACCGACTCCACAGTGGAACATGTTGCATCTTTCATCCAGATTTTCCAACCAAAAAAATGTAATGTCTTTCCTGACAACCCCATAACTACATTGGATGCTACAGTAAACAATATAGATTCTATCAAACTGGTTTTGTTGATATTAAGACGGTGTGCGTTTTATGCTACACTCGTGTACTTCCATGCATTAGATAACGACATGGAATTGCAACACCGGTACACAATCAACGAGCATATATCTTGTGTTGTAAGCGGTTTTCACTAACAACCTTGCTTATATTGGCCAGAATATAAAACAGTCGTTTAGGGACATGTAGGTCATTCGTATGGAACGCGAAAGAAGTTTGAACTAGTTCACCATAAGACCTTATTTCGTACAAATGATCTCAAAATAATCGTATTGTTCCAGAAATTTAAAAACAAACAAGCAAACTTTCTTTAACTGTGTTTTGGTCTACACATCAAGATATGCATTCTTGTATTGAAAACTGTTACCATCGGGCGTATATATAGTATAAGAACAACCGTACACAGCAAGACTAGAGTTCAAATAACCATCGGGCGTATATACAGTATAAATATAACAGCACACAGCAAGGCTAGAGTATAAATAAACAGTTTAATGAAGGATAAAATAAGAAAAGCAAAAGAAACAAGCTATTAGTAAAACAAAAGGTCATGTCATGCAATGCATTTATCATCTCGCACATTTCAAGCTTACTCATATGCTGTTATCAAAAGCGAACGGAGATTCAATACAACAGAAAACGTTTCTACTACAATCAACAAGACATCCGATATTAGAGTTGTCGCCCATTATGATCCAGGTTCACCATCGCTAAGTGTTTCTCTGTTATGACATTCGTGTCACTAAGTTGGACGGCTGCGAGACGCTTGGATGTATTAGTTACACTAATTTTAATGTCATTCACGCCTTCTGGAAGCTTTTTGTGCAGAGTTTCCGGTAAAACAAGGGATGTAACTCCGGCTACCAATGACAATGCTCCAAATACAACATATGGAAGTTCTGATCCGAATCTCGTATGGACTAGCTGTCCCTGAAATAATATTGAAATAATTTAGTTAATGAATCACGTGTGCTAAATATAAATATGGCCTACTAACAGCATCGATTTATCATCATTAAATTTAACACTGGAACACGGTATACAAATTAGGATTGAATATTAACACTGGAACACGGTATACAAATTAGGATTGAATATTAACACAGGAACACGGTAGACAAATTAGGATTGAATGTTAGTTCAGGAATGCAGTATACAAATAAGGATTGAATATTAACACAGGAACACGGTATACAAATTAGGATTGAATGTTAGTTCAGGAATGCAGTATACAAATTAGGATTGAATATTAACACAGGAACACGGTATACAAATTAGGATTGAATATTAACACAGGAACACGGTAGACAAATTAGGATTGAATATTAACACAGGAACACGGTATACAAATTAGGATTGAATATTAACACAGGAACACGGTATACAAATTAGGATTGAATATTAACACAGGAACACGGTATACAAATTAGGATTGAATATTAACACAGGAACACGGTAGACAAATTAGGATTGAATGTTAGTTCAGGAATGCAGTATACAAATTAGGATTAAATATTAACACAGGAACACGCAAAACGAATGAATTCATATAACGTGCATAATATCAATATCAACTACATTGCAAGAAGATTGTACAAAAGGCACACAAGTGAACATCGCCTTTTAATACAAATTAATTTAGAATTAGATACCGGAGACCTTAGCAATTAATAATTTAACCGAGTCATACAGTTATTTCGTCCTCCTAAGACTCGTCAGTGATGGTAAGTGCCTACATTTGAAAGCCTAAGAGGCGACTGAGGTAAACCCAAAGTGATCGAAAAAATTTAAAAATCTGGAAAGTATAAAGGAGAACCAAACTAAAGATCCATTTGTTTTCTTACTAAGTCAGCGATGTATGGTGCCACAGTGGCACCGATCATCCCCGACACATTTGCTGTGGCCACCACGAAGCTCCTGGTGGACGTGGGAAACATCTCACTGGTAAATATGAAGACGTTAGCAAAGTCGCCTGAGACACACATTCGACCGACTGTCGCTGCTCCAATCAGTATCCATCTCTTCATTGTTTCTATGGAAATGTCAACAAAATGATTTAAATGAAATTCATTGACTCATTTCGATTTGTTTCACGAATGTCTTAAGATCTTAAAACAGCACAGTCGGTATCATATTTGAGTACACTCTTTCGCCACAAAAGGACACCTTTGGCAACGCACGAAGTAATCATGAGGAGATTTAATACTATGTTATATAGGGGCCTGAGGTGTGAAAAATAAAAAAAAAAACAACCCAAAAACTATGCAAGTGCTGTGTGATTAGCTGTCTTGAGCGGTCATCGTGTTGATAGGCCAGGAGAGGCTGCGTAAGTCATGGAAGGACAAATTAGTTGTTCGATTCTATTCATGATTGTGAAGTTATTGAATGCAGCCTATTTAGTTAACCTTAGCAGGATGGAAGGACCAGCAGGATACATGCACTGAGGGATGTTTTTTCATATTCCATATGTATTTTAGGAAAGCTTTGCAGATTCCGATTTTGCCTCGTTACACTGTCGTATTAATAAGAACATTTACTTTCATATATACTGTAGATCAGGTCTAAATCGCCACATGCAAATGTCGCCAATGAAAAGTGTCAAAGCCATAATATCTGATATTAACAATGCAATATTTTTGGTTGAAAATCCTTCACTAATGTTCATTCTGGGATTTTCACACTGTCCACCTTACGCGATATCAAAACAAATTTATATATGGCAGTTTTTTAAAATTGTTTAAATCTACCTGGTTTATCAAAAGTTCAAAAGCAAAAAGTAAAGGAATTTCTCACAGAAATCATGAAATGGAATAGGGTTTTTAAATCTATTTTTTATCTTTATGCCTTAATCACCTCTCATTCTATCCCCCTTACATTCACTGATCCCCTAGTGTGAAGCTTTAGAAATAGAGACAAGTGATATAAGTGGTCGATTCCTCCACGTGACTTACTGTCCTCTATATACAAAGATGCCAAGAGTGCCAACAAAGAGAGAAGAAATGTTAAAAACAAGGCGACACCGTTCAGGAGTTTCCGACCGAAGCGGTTGTTGAGGTAAAGTGTTAGTAAGGCGCCAGCAGATTCTACCACCGCGAATATAAGGAAATTCAAGTAGACATTTCCACCAAGTGTTCCAACGTTGAACGTGAGTCCATAATATGATGTGGCCAGAACAAACCTGGATAATATTAAGAAATTGCACAGATTGAAATTACTTTTCAAATACGTTTAACTGATTGTGTCGAAATATTTTGTATGAACTATATCTAAATATCGATTATTTATAGTGGTCAGCGAAAACCGGAGAAATATGCATTTTGAAAATAATTGAGTGATCGAATGTAGGCATACATAAAAGAAAAAAACATAATCAAGAAATCTAGAAGTTAACATTGTGTGTAATTTGATTTTCATGTAACCGTTAACGATGGTATGTATCTGATATAGGATCAACCTATTATGGGGTAACTGAAATTGCCATTTATGATCAATGTATGACTGAACAAAGTCAAAACACAATCATGGAGTTGGAACTGAATTTTCGTACCACAATACCATGTTGATCAACCATCGAATGAAGTGCTTCCGTGTCCGGAGTAGCGGCCGTATCTCTTTGAGTCCGGTTCGCTTCTTTTCGTTGGTCGGATTAATATTGAAATGTTCTGGAACTTGCCGTTTGTTAACTTTAGCTATTTTGTGGAGCGTTTCATTCGCTTCCTTCATTTTACCACGTGACAACAACCATCGCGTTGACTCTGGAAGAACACTACAAATTAAAACAAGCACACGGCCAGTGTTAAGTTTTGAATTTACGTTCCTGAAGCAACACTAACGTAATTATATGTTTAGAATAATATTCCACTTTCTAACACAGTATTTGGTTAGGAACACATTTTGATTACTGCTAATTTGATGGAGCATTTATTTTCATTTTCAAAAATAAAAATTTACTCAATAATGTTACCACTGAGTTGTTTACCTGATCACTGGTTTATTCAATATTCTACAGACATTCCAAGCGTCGTCAGTGAAATAGACATAATCAATGCTAAGTTAATCGGGAACATTAATTTGGAAGCAAAATAAAATAATTTCATTGGACAGTGGCAACGTCTTATAATATACACCAAATCTGTATACCTAGTTGTTTCTTTTTCTTTCTTTTTAAAATCTTTTTTCTCTTCTGTATATTTCTTTGTTTCGACCTGGTTCTCCTTTAAGAACGTGATACAAGATATGATATTTAATAAATTAACTAGATTTGAGAGAACATGTCGCTTACAACGTATCCTTACTAACATTTACATATATATTTACATATACAAATGGATATTCTACAGACTTACAACCAATATAGCAGCAGGACAATCCCGGGGGCGGAAATCGCGAGCTGCAAATACCTCCAATCTCTGATGTAATAGGCTAATCCACAGAGAATTACCTCCCCTACGCAGAAGGCGATTTCTGTTGAAATACCCGCCAACGCTCTCCAAGAAGGGCCAACCATCTCTATAGCTGTACCAAATAAAGGGAAGGAACTCAAACAGTCAACTATGCAATGCGTTATATTTCCGAGCAGTAGAGGGAAAACCAAAAGCCCGATCCCAATGATTCACTGCAGGGAGAAGTATATATCTTAAGGTTTTGTTTTACCATGAAACCAACACGAAGTTGTAAGAACGTTCCACTCGCCATTATCTTCTTATTAATAAAATACCAATACCAAAGTTCTCGAACTAATGAATTTTCACTTAGTACGTAAGGTAAATTTCCGGTATATTGATTATCAACAGTAGAAGCTATAAATAATATTTACGTAGCATACATCTTATATCGAAATCATTAATCAATAACCACATCGGTTTGACATATCGAGCTCTATTGTGTCTTAATTTTTATTGTAACTTAATTTTCAATATATTTGATTTTGTGTGTCTTTTATACAATCTTTGAGATTGCTGTAGGTTAACAATGCTGATGGACTTTTAGCCCACGAGGTTTACCGTAACATACATGTATATCTGAATGCGGATAGTGGCACGTTTCAGAATAGACACATCTGAATTTATCAGATATATGGATATAACGAGATTTATTGGATTATGGGGCTATGCATCTACCCATCTAGACTTTGATATTTCTCTTGATCACGAATTATTTTCCTCAGTCCCCTCCTATGCTTTTGAATTAAGGTCATTATCATTACTGACGAGTCCTGGAAGCTTAATGGTACAGGTTAATTCATTATTAGTTTTTATGGTATTGAATTCTACATTCGACCTTTCTATAAGCATACCATGGCATGGTACATGTATAAAATAGAGAAAGCAGACAGGTGACGTTGACCCAAATAAAGACTATTTATGTTAAGCTGAGCTATCTATATTATGTATAGTAACTAGTTCATTGTGCAAATGTGTAGAGTGCGCTGTCCTCGTCAATGTTGTCACGACTGTATCATCAGTACTGCCATGGGTGAACACAAATTTTTAACAGGAAGGTTTTAGCTAGCTTCCTTTATCACTAAGATGATTGAATGTCAATACATTAGGCACGAAGCCCTACTTACCTTTACTGTAATGGCGTAGGTAAACACAATAATATCTAACAGACAATTTATAGAAGTATGATTGTTTAACCAGGACTTTTTATCAATGTATGATTTTATCATTCAACAGAGTTGGTGTACGTTATTCGTTATAAACATGACATTTTTTCAAAATTATTAAAAATCTGTGTTTACGAATCATGATTGTCTGCTTCAATGCACTTCCCAGCCTGTAAGTAGATATTCATTCTGGTTGATGCAGACCAATATTGTTTAATCATGCGTCTTTATAACACTTTTTAACAAATCTTGTGCTATTTACCTAGATGCGTCATTTACAAGCAGTGTTGCTATTTGGTTTAAATGCATGCTTCATGTGTGTTATCACGCTGTTGTATCCTAACTTCTATTGTTGACTTGTTTAGAGTCTCATGTTTTCATGCTATCCAATTGGAAACCAAAAGCTCGAAAAGTAATCGGAAACACGAAGGAAGATGTCTAGGCGTCGTGATAATTGGATTGGATTAAAACCTCACGTCCCTAGTATCACTAACGCGACATTTGCATTTGGTAGTTTAACTCATTATTCGGCTCTAAAAGGTACTTTTCACTTTCTTTGTCTTGTACGATCTTGAATTCTTTACATTTCACTTATCATACAACAAAAACATATCATTTTTAACACATAGATTAAGAGATGTTACTTGTGTGTGTCTGTTGACACAAGTTTTACCTATCTAATATTTAGATTTATTTTGCTATTTCTCTCAGGTCTACAAAGTATTACTTACCTATGATTTTAATACACGCTATGTTACTCCCGGCACCAGAAAGGAACCTCATGACCACGTACATGTTAAAGTTGTACGACCATATGCACGCCATGGATGAAAACACCAAGAATATGATGCTGAAACAGGCCACTGGTTTCCTACCGAATCTGTTGAGAGAAGGCAAACGACAGTTAATCTACAACATTCCAGTGGTAGATATTAACTTGTATGATAAAATCACAATTAGGTGTTTTCAGCAATATCTAACTGTTATTCTGTAGGTGAAGCTAAGTATTTATACCGTGTTTGTTAACTAAAATGGGAGTGTCTAGAGTGTAAGTATGTGAGAATCCTTTCCACACCATAACCGATCCACCCCCAAATCTTTCCGTCACTACTAGCAGCAATCAGCAAAACGTTCTCCACGACGTTGATCGTCTGCTCGAAACAGGATAAACCGGAGCTCATCAATATTAAAAACCCGCCTCCACTGCCTCAATGGGAAAAGTCTGGGAGCATATGCTGCCACCCAAGCCATACGACGCTGGCGACGTGCAGCGGTAAGGGGCAGACCTACAAATGGATGATGTACTCGCAGATCAACCTCTCGCAATCGTTTCCTTACAGTTTTTGCATGGATAGTACGGTTATGAGTACCTATGGTATGAATGGCTGATTCAGTGGCAGTTAGGTGCCGATTGCGCAAATGCGCGAGACGAATAAACCTGTCCTGACGTTGTGACGTCACGCGCGGACGCCCAGACCTAGGTCTGTCAGCAACCCGCCCAGTTTCCCGTAGAAGTCTAACAACACATTTTATCGTGCAAATATGGACCCCTCTGAACTTCTGTCATCCGTGCAATTGTTTAAAGCTAGAAATTAATCAAAATATCGGAAAATGACGTGTCTCTATTAAGGATACCTATTGGTATGACATACAGTGTAACTCAATGTCACAACACTGTTGTGCACGAGATTTTCCAGTTTCGTGCTTTCCCCGGAAGACATCGTCACGCAATACAATAATGCAACATTCGATACAGGACCACGTGCTCTGTAACCTAGAGAGTAGCTTGACCGATTTTCATTATTTTTGAACAACGGCTTTGCATGATATTGAAAATAATGCCATTCTTCGTTTCTTTATCCCTTGAGTATATATCGGAGGCCTAAGCTAAAGCTAACATTTATATCATTGTGCTGACATGATGAATTAACCACTGAGTGAAGACAAATTGTTTGATATCAGAGAAAAATAACCATGATGAAGATTTTCCCGTGAAAAGTATGACTTAAACACTTTGTGATTTCTTTGATTTGCGTCTAGTACTTCAATTGTTCTGTCAAATTAGTAAATATTGTGCAATTTCTATTGTAAGATGTTATACAATAAGTTATTGAAAACAAATCTTTTCTTTCTCAAGAGTGGATCATTCATTGTTGATCATATAGTATTGAACGAAACGCACGTGTCACCGATGGCTCCGAGCATAAGTGCTCCTGCCAGGTTACCTCCGAGAAAGGCCATACTAGCATGTGTTCGCAATATCTTGTCATCGCATACCAGGTCAAACTACAGAAAAAAATAATATACAAACAAAACATTTAAAAAGTCAAATAACAAGACATTGACAAGGTTAATATCCAATTTCAATAGATTTATACATTTACATGATAACTTTAATGAAATCATTTGTACTGAATTAGAAGTCCAATTACCGGAAAAGACATATCGGTCATTGAAATAAACAGAGATACAAAGAGCGCTTTCATTGTTCGGGAATAGAACCTCAAACTACAACATACAGCCGAACTCGTATAACTCGAAGACCCAATTTTATTCGATGAATTTCGCAGGTCCCTAACTTCACACAAAATATACGAACTCACTTAAATCGAATACTCGGTTATTGCGAAGTTTTCCCATGGTCCCGTCGAGTTCGAGATAACGACGTTCGCCTGTAGGTATATAAGCTTACATAAAAAAAGAAAACTTAACATAATATATTGAATAGGGTATAACGGTCAAGCTTCCATAAAAAGGCACATTTCAATTAAGTTCAGAAAGAAAATGATCAAAACAAAACAAAGTTCAAACTTACGTCGGATATTGGTGAGCTCGTCAAACGGTCAGTATCGTATGTCCAGGAGGAACACGACTCTGTGTGAGTTGTATTTGTATCGTTATAGTATAGAGTGACATCGCACGAGGACAAAGACTGAACTAAGGCTGTGTTGGACAGGTTGGTGGTCGTATTGTCGTAATCAGCATTACACCTGGGCGTAATAGAAAAAGTCATTAAAAAATTAGTGTTGTTTAATGTCGATACCATCAACGATAAGGAAAAAACAAAATATCCCCGAATTAATGAATTTTTGACTCAGAATATGATCAAAGATAGGAAATTGTTAATGTCTTATGTTGTACAACCTCAACATAACATATGTCTGTAACTTACTATTTATTGAATTGTTATAATCAATTGGTATTTACACATTATTTAACAAGAAGACGAGCTCTTATAACATCGTATTCCTGAAAAACACCCAAGGAAGCAAGCAAACAAATGAAAAAACAAAACAGAAGCAAACGACGAAAATGAAGAAGTCTCAATCTCGTTTACGTCATCAATGAAAAGCGGTCTATAGAATAATATATCAGTTGTGTTAATAATACTATAAACGCAATAATTCAAAAATGCAGTTCAACCCAAATTTAAATAATGAAGCAGTTAAAGTAACAAAAAGTACTCAATGTAATTACGAGAAAAATATATTCATTGGTGGTGTAGTGAAACGCTAGTTTTATATTGTCCGTCTGCTCTGGTAGTCAGGTCAGGGTTCAGAGTTCATTCTTTGTACATCGTGGAAAAATGCATCATGGGATATGTTTACGTGAAAGTCCAAAGGAAACAGACTTACGGATTTAGCAAGGCTTAGGTGACCCATGAGGTAACTTTAATACGGTTTAAACGTTTGAAATTGGATTAATTTTGTTGAAATATATTTGTTTTGTGGCTCTAAAGGCAAAATATGTGCTAAGGACAGGTTAATTTCTGTATTTTTCAGTTTTTTACCGCAGGTTGGGGCGCAAGCTAGGTGCAACCAAGAACCCCTACACTGTGTTTGTGATGATTGTGAACTATGGCTATAGGAACTAGGAACTTTGTATATGTAATAAAGGAAAGCATTAAAGGCGTTTAGTTTGTGTTTCTTTGGACTCACTCGACATCACAGTAAAAAACTCATGGCTGAAAACCCGGAAAAAGAACCATCAAAATGACGGAAAAGGCACATCAGGCATTTGAGGACACAGTCGGTAAGTATAAACATAGACTGTTAAATTTATACAGAAATTTAGATTGTCTCATAACTGATATTGAGTATGAAAATATGAACTTGGATGAATTAAAATCCTTGGCATCAGACATTACCCAGTCATATGAATCCTATGAACAAGTTTCAACCAAATTCAGTAAATATTTGGAAGAAAGTAGAACGGAACAAGGCCAGGAAGAATTATTATCTCATATGACAGCTGTGGAAACATTAAAATCCCAGTGTGACACGGTTTTGGACCAAATTCAATCATTTATTGACAAAATAAAACCAGTTCAAACTGTATCTGTGGTCGATAACATTTCACAGGGGTTTGTAGTCGAGGAAAATCCTCGGCATAGTGTAAGTGAATATAAAAACGGCGTTTCGGATATTATGTCAATAAAGTCGAAAACAAGTAAAACCTCAGTGCGTTCTAGCATAACTAACATCTCCAGGGTCAGTTCAGTATATATGAAACAACGAGCGAAATTGGAAGCGGCCAAAGTGAGGCTAAAATTTGTTGAGAAAGAGGCCGAATTGCAAAAATCCCTTCAGCTGTTAAAATCACAAAGAGAACTGGAGGAGGCAGCAGCCGAGCTTAAGGCTATGGATGACGTTATTGACACTGGTAGCCCTATCAGACATTGTTCACAAGCACCGTCGGATGATGAGGAGTTACACAGGAAGTCTAGGACAGTTGAATTTGTGCAAAGTCAAGCCGAAAATTTGAACACCGGTTATGAAACATTCGACCCCTATTCACATAAAGTACCGTTAAACGTTGAGGCTCGAGAATTCACCCCAGGTCAGTGTGTAACTGGACTGAATGATTTGACCAAATTTATGCTAAAGAAAGACTTGCTTATGGGTAGACTCACTCAGTTTACTGATAAACCCGAGGAGTATCGTGTCTGGAAAATGTCATTCCTAAATGTTGTAAAGGAACTTGATGTAAGCCCTCAAGAACAATTAGACTTATTATCGAAATGGTTGGGGCCAGAATCTCGAAAACAGGCTGTAAGTCTACGTGCTGCAAACATACATGACCCACCCCAAGCCTTGTGTAAAATCTGGACTAGGCTCAGTGAGAAGTACGGCGCGCCCGAGCAAATTGAGTTATCTTTGAGGGAAAGGCTAAACAAATTCCCGAAATTAACGAACCGAGATGGTCAGAAATTGTTTGATCTTTCGAACATATTGGCGGAAATTCAGGCAGTAAAGGAAAACACGGCGTTCAGCTCGATAATGGCGTACTACGATTCGTCCAGCGGTATAAACCCAATTGTTTGCAAGTTACCCGTGTTCATACAAAACAAATGGACTGACTATGCGTGCAGATATCAAACCGAGCACAATGTTACATATCCGAAATTCAGTGTTTTCGAGAGGTTCATACAGGAAATGAGCTCGCGAATGAACAACCCGAGTTTCAATTACACCGATGGTACTGCGGTACCTAGCGTCAGCAAAGAACAACGTCGTACTGCGTCTACCGGAAGTAGGAATGCATACGTCTTTTCAAAGAAAACGGAAGTTAATGTGCCTACAGCATTTTTGTGCCCACTTCATGACAGTGCGAGAGAAGCGAAGCATTTGTTATCAGATTGCCACCTGTTTCTATCGAAATCCAAGGACGAAAAGAGGGAAATTCTCTTAAAACACGGCGTGTGCTTTAAGTGTTGTAAGGACAAACATTTGGCCAAGGACTGTACAGAAAAAGTAATCTGTACTGTGTGTAAAGGTTCATCGCATTGCACTATGTTTCATGATGACAAATATCAGCCCCGTCAGTCTCACGGCGAGGAAAGGACAAGTATCAGGGGAGACAATCGTAAGATAAATTCCAAGTGTACACAGTTGTGCGGTGAAACCGGTCCCTTCGTGGGGAAATCGTGTGCAAAAACGGTGTTAGTAAATATCTACAAGGACGGACAACTTAATAATGTGTTGCGTGCTTATGCCATTATAGATGAGCAGAGCAATCGGACATTGGCCAAAAGTGAGTTCTTCGATTATTTTGGAGATCATTCTACGGAAACCGGATACGTACTTTCATCATGTGCCGGTGAAATTCAGGTAACCG